TCTCTACAAATTGTAATTCCGAATAAGGCTGTAGTTTCAACAGCTCTTCATTACAGAGGATTAAAATCCATTCTGGCATATTTACGGTATTATTTTCGTATAATGCGCGGTTATTGGATCCGCACTTTTATTGGATTGGCGATTATTAGATTCTGCACTTTTGTACGGTGTGATATTGATAATTAATTTCAAATATCTTTTAAATTTCTCTTAATGACGTTTGAATATAAAAGTAAATTTTTTTTATATTTAAGAAATTTAATTTTACCCCGCGATATTTTAAGTAGTACATTGGTTTATCACATTGGTGGCACACTTTCAATACATTTGAAATGTATACATCAGAGATATTATACTTTTTATATTATTATCGATAATTTTTATGTATTATTTAAGATGAAAACTTCGCACGAATTTCGTCATCCACACGAATGAGATCATTGCAGTTTGCAACAATTAAAGCATTATACATGAAAAATGATACATGCGCATAAAATAATAAAATTTCAATACCAATTTCTTTCTGAAAAGAAAAAAAAAATAATTAAATATTAGAATATTAGTTATTAGATAGTACCGATTTAAATGTCATTAAGAGAAGCATTGAACTTATTGTTAGCGCAATTTTTTTAAATGTGATTTTTTACTATAAAAGTAATCATCCGTTTTAAAAATTAAATAGATGGAAGCCTTTCTCATATCGTGCTTTTTCTGAGAATCTTGATTCTCAAGCATGAACTTATCTATAAATAATACAAAAATTAAAAAATATTTGAATCAGACCACGTTACACATTCATAAGATAAAGAATGTCTTCTAAATATCTTTACGGCAACTTCTAAGCATTTTTTTTACCCCGGTTACGTTTTATTAACATTTAATATTTAAAACTGATGCTTCGTAATATCTTTGTTTGCACACGCAAAGAAATTGTAGAGACACTCCTTAATAATCTAGTCGCTTCTATCAAATCAATTCTGTCGCAATTATCAACGTAATTTTGTTAGGCGCATTTTGTTTGCAATAAATACAGTAGAATTATGGACTAAAGAACACGACTTCGCGGCATATCTTTTTAACCTTAGAGGCGACTTAGCAATTAATGTCTTTCACAGGTCGCTATCGAGGTAAACTCAAAGTTCGCTATGAATGTTTTCCGTAGTCACTCTGATTTCCTCTTCGTGGAAAGCGGTGCAGTCTGCTGGGTATTTGCTCTGAAAGAAAAACGAAAAAAATTTTAGATTAAGCCATTTATCAATTATAGTCAGCATAACGCGAGAAACCAATGAAACAAATACAGATATTTTTCATTAGCAAAGATCTTTGTTAACTATTACCGCAAGTATTCTTCTTTCCCTGCCCCGTTTGTTTTTTTTTTAAATTAATCGCAGCAAATGCAAATTAGCTTTTCTTTACTTGTAGAGCAAAATGCCGTTTCTCTCTGTTGACGGATTACAGTTTGTGTTTACTCACAATGCATCCCTCCTGCTCCATGATGGCTCCGTAGAGAGGCCAGAAATTAGTTCCTAACTTATTACTGACTGCCCAAGCCGCGGGGAAACTCGCTACCCTCAGCAATGCACTGCGTACGCGTGCAAATATCTCGTTGCCGTCGTCCTCTCGTTGCTGACTCTTCTCATTTATGGTACATAAGATTTGACTAGCACAATGCGGCACTTTCGTCGCCCATTTGTACGCTCGGTACGACTAAAAATAAACGAACACGTCAGTATTTTATTAAAAAATACCGATACTTAATATCAATTTAAGTGCAATGAGTTCTATGAGAAGATTGCGATCCTCTAGACTCTTACATTGCACAAAGTTTTAATTAAGAAATTCTATATTGCTTAAAGTTTTAAGTGAATCAAGTTTTAAAAAGGGCTAAATTTTAATTAAACCGATTTTTAATCTTAAGCGACAAAACTATAAAAAATGAACAAGAAAATTAACCCCTTATACAAAATTATTATTTTGTATAAGAGAAGTTAGAAGTATTTACCTTGAGAACAGGACCGATGCAATCATTGTTAATAATTTCGCTCAGTCTGTTGCTTAACTCTCGTGCATTTACTCGGGACATGATAAACCCTTTTTCGGAGGCCAAGTTTACTAATTCCTGGAAATACGATATCGCCGGCCTTACGTACTGCGAGCTGTCGATCTTCATGTTCAGGTACCTCTTCGCCACCCCATTTGCCAATCTAAGCGACAAATTTTACATCAGCTGTCACGTACATTTAGGAAAGAAATGGAGAATCATGAAATTAACCATTATTATATTAACCTGGTGATACTCTCCGTTGGTTTTGTGGCATCGAACATCATTGTTTTCGGGAATCCTTGAGACTTTAGAAAACTATTACCGACGAACTGTGCAGTCGTCAGATAACGTTGTTGATTCATCGGATCAGAAACGTGAGAGATCCATTCGGCGACAAAATTCGTGAGCGATCTGATCCACC